TCTGAGCATGTGCATCTTCACCTTTTACTTTCTAATAAAGTGAACACCTGGTGTGCCCTTAAATTCTTTTCTTCTGCAACATGTCAAAAACCTGGAAGATTTCAATAGTGGTCTCCTCTGCCTCTGCAGAGACCTCCTTGGGCCCACTAATGGTGACACACTTAATCCCCATGAATGTGTTGAAAACCTAGCCACTCCCTCTTTGCTTCACTTTGGTGTTACCCAAACTGCCTCTTGCAGAAATGCTTTAAATTTTCTAGTTGGTCCTCCTGCCCTTCTCCAATTTTCAGCAGACATCTAGAATTCCTTCTGATCATTGTAATTGGAATTTGTAAGTGGGTATTCAGTACATGGGTGAGCTGGGATCCACATCTGGGCCCATGATGCTGTTCCTGTTCCTGGATGCTTTGACTCCGTCCTTCACACAGATTGGTGTGTTTCCCTACAGCCCCAGCCTCTGCTCCCCAACACCTACCCCACATGTACCACCTGCCCTCAGCCTCCTAGGAATGTTACTGGGGTAATTCAGGGGTTACGTTACATATCTCAGTTTTTGTGTTCTTTCAGGAGAAAATTTCAGGCAAGACATGAAGTATTTATAGAAGTATAACAGAGTTTACTAGAAAAGAAAGAAAAACACCCTCAAGGGAGAGTGTGGGCTGTCTCTGAGAGAGCAACTGGCTCCCCTTTGTTCCCTGGTTTTAGTGAGGAGAGTTAGGGAAGTTTCTAGAGAGTCCCGCCAGGTAACACCTCCCCACTCTTGAATGACAGTAAGATTGCATCTGATCTTTAAGTCCCTACTGCACATGGTCTTACCCACAGATACCCTAGCAAGATCCATGGGCCAGAGGCAGAATTTTACTATTATCATGACATGCTAAAGATTGAAAGGCACTCTAGTTTGCTCTGGTCCAGGCTCTCTGGTTCTAATTGCAACTTGTTCTTACAGATTTCACATGGGCTTTGCTTTTAATTATCCTGTCCTCCTGAGCCATGGAGTCTTTGGGCTATATAAAGGTCACGGAAGTCCCCCTTCAGAGTAACCTGTATTCTCTTCATAGACACAACAGATTCTTTAGACCAGCATTTCTTGGCCCTGAGAATAGCTGGGCAGATAATAGGTTGTTTGTCAGGGGATGTGGCATATCCCATTGATTTAAGTCAGAGCAGGGCTGGAGTGGCTTTAGGTAAATTGCTTTGGGGATAAAATGTTTTGTTTTGTTTTTAAGAGAAAATGTATGGAGGTCTGACTTGTAACCCAGTTTACAGAATTATCCCCTTAGCCTTGTGTTCCAATGGCTCACGTCCATCTGCTACTTATCAGGAAGACCATAGACAGAACCCATCACACCCCAGCACTAAGGGTGGGTCAAGGCCTCCAGGGTGGCTCTTGCCCTGATATGTTTTTATTGTTTGTTTGTTGGTTTGTTTGTTTTCATCCCCCAACCAACATTGAGCCCCGGAGAACTGAGTTGGTTAAAATTGAATTGGTTCTTTCAAAGGGATCCAGGCATCCTCTACAAGGAAGATATTACTGAAGCCCTCTTGGACGTTAGCTTTGTCTCACTTCTATTTTCTGTGCTTGTTCAAGGTCAGTCTCCTAGCAGACTGGAAGTTTGAGGAGAACAGAGGTGTCTGTGTCCTTCACCACCATATCCTCAGGGCCTTCACTGGTATATCTATGCTATGAGCACATAATTTTCTTTATCAATAAGAAATAAAAGCCACATGGATTGAACCAAAGGCATTTTTTCTCTTTTTTAGTTTTTAGCACATGATAGTCACACATAATAGTGGGGTTCATTTTGACATATTCATAAATGCATTAGCATAATTTTCTCCATTTTGATCCCCAATATTACTCTTCCCTTACTTCCTCCCTCCCCCTGATCTGCCTCCTCTACTCTAATGGTCTTCCTTTCACTTAGACCAAACTATTTTTTATTGTATTGGTGTTCATTCTTGAAAATGTATAAAATACAGAAAAGAACAAAAAGGAAAAAAATCTCATCCAAAATTCATATGGCACATTCCTTTGCAAGTTTGTTGTTGTTGTTATTGTCTTTCCTGTGTGTATGAAATCTGGTGGCCTATTTTCCTTGAATGAGTTAATAGCATATGTGTTTTCTTTCACTTTTTATTTCCTTATATATTCAGCACCTACTTTGTGTATCAGGTACCATACTGGACACTGTAGATGTTTAAATGGGGTCTCAGAATGCAAGGCAACAGTTTCAGACAGAGAGGCAGGGGACATAATGAAGATGAATGAATACCACCCTTCAAGTTCCCATATGTGGGGAATGAGCTTGAGACTAACAAGAGTAGCCAAAAAGAGAAATTAGCTCTTTATCTGGTCCCTGTTACACTGGGCATGTCAGAGAGGCTTATTATATACGACAGGAGAACTTCCAGAAAAAGCCAAAGTAATTGTTTTTGAATGGGGCCATCCCCTAAACAGGCTTTCTGTTAAAAGACATCCATGTTTTAAAAGTGAGGATTGTCATCAAGTTTTTTTTATATCTGCTTGCCAACAGATCAGAATAGATGCTGGATGCAATGTTGGAACACAGCCCAGAGGTGCCCGGTGTGTGGTATCATCATACTGACCCCTTAGTTGAACCATCACAAGGAGGTTGGGGAGTCCTAGGAAGAGGTTGGGTGGCCAGGTAAAAGGTAGAGGACACTCAGAAGGCATACAGCTGCTCACCAACTGGCACAGTAGTGTTTCAATGTTCTAAAAAATACACCCTTTACCAGGTCATCCTGGCAACCAACTCCCCCAGAGAGAATATCTTCTATTCTCCAGTCATTTCTGTACATTCTGGCTATTAGCCAACCTGCTGCCTTTGACCTTAGAGACAGGGTTTGCTGTCCTTTGAGCTTGAACAAAAGGAATATAATTTGAACAAAAGGAATATAATTTGAAATGGTTTCAGAGTCTGCTATGGAGGATGAGCTGAGGCTGACTCTGAGGCCGTCTTTCCAGAAGCTCCTCCTGGAAGATTCTCTAACAACTCCATCTCACACTGGACACTTCTCTCTTTATTTTAATCTTCTTTACATTGTTGTGACCAAAATACCTGACAAGAAGTTAGAAGAAGAAAAGTTTATTTTGGCTCACAATTTCAAAGGTTCAGTCCATGGTGGGCTGACTCCAGTGCTCTGGGGCCAAGATGATGGCAGAAGGGCATGGTGGAGGAGTGCAGCTCCGTTCATGGCATCCAGGAAGCATGAGAGAAAGGGGAAAGGGCTGCGGGGAAGATGAGCCCTTGCAGGGCACGCCTCCAGTGACCTACTTCTTCCAGGCATGCCCTGCCTACCTACAGCTACCAGCCAGTTAGTCCATTCAAACTTGAATATGCTGATTAGGTTATGTTTCTCATAATCTAATCACTTTAACTCCAAACATTTTTGTGTTAACAAAGGAAATTCTGGGGGAAACCTCATATCCAAACCATAACATTCCTCTTCTGACATTTTCATTCAACATGGGTGACGTTGTCAGAGTACCACATGGCGCCAGAGCGGAGAAAGAAAGCTTAAAGGGTGAGGAACAGACAAGAGTTCAGTAAAGACCTGAGCCCTGAACATCCGTTAGCAGCAAAGGCCAACATCTCCCAAGAGAACTTCTCTTGATGACCCTCTATCCCAAAAGCCCTATTTCTACATCCAGACATTCTCTAGGTAGGCTTGGTTGCCAGGATCTCCTGGTATAGGATATGCTTCTAAGAACATTGAAACACTGCTGTGCTGGTTGAAAAATAGCTGTGTCTAGAGGATAACAGTGTCCTCTGATGGGAGGACTAATCGAGTTGATATGTACTGGGACAACATTCTCAGCTTACCCGTAGTGATAACTATGGCACTCACCCTCAAATCTCAGCTTCCCTGCTGATTTGGGAGAGATACAAATAATGGTTAAAAAGGAAAAGAAAAAATAGTGGAATGAATGTGACATAATTTTCCTATGTACATAGATGAAAACATCACAGTGAATCCCACCAACATGTACATCCATGAGACTGGGACCTTAACTAGAATAAGATATAATCCATGCTTGTATAATTATGTCACAATGGGTTCTACTGACATGTATAACCAAAAAGGGAGCAATAAATAAATGTTTTAAAATAATTTAAAAAAAAAAAAGTTTCCCAGTGTATCCATCAATTATTTAGCAGAGGATTACCCTAGGACTGTCCCAGGAGCAGGCCAAGAAAGGACAGGCAGAGCAGGCCTGTATGCACTGAGTGGGGGATAAAAGCTCTGAGAAGCAGTGCTGGAGCCAACCCTCCCCAGCCCCACCCCACTCCTGGGTTATGTTTCTCCCAGCCTCCTGCAAGTACACAAACATAGTGGTCCTTAGAGTTTTTCATAGCAAACATTGTTGGTAATAATGAACTTACTGTTTGTGCTTGCAGTATTTGTATGCTTGACAGAAGCTCTGGAAATGGTTGGAAGAGGAGTGAGGATATTGGACTAGGAAAGGAGGAGGTGAGTGGGAGAAGAATGTGAGCTGGATGGCAGTGATAGTAGCCATTCTTCAGTGCTGAGGCACAAGACACTGGAGCAGGCTGCTCACAGCCTCCTACTGGTGGGGCTGCTAGATACAAGGACCAGTTACCAGAGAGATCAGTGTAGCACAGCTGTAGGCAGCAGAGGTTCAGATCACCTCTCTGCCAGACTCTAGTTATCCAACCCTGAGCCAGTTTCTTAGCTTTTCTGCATCTCAATTTCCTCATCTATAAAATGGTCCTATCTCTTAGGGCTTCTGTGACGATTGAGAAAGATAATGTTTGCAAAGAATTTAGCACAGCCTCTGGTACAGACTAAAGTCTTTAATGACACAAATTTGCTTTCTTGTGAATTATTTTATCATAATGTATGTAATAGTTTATTTATTGCAAACTTATGGACAAAAAAAAATCTTACTTTAGGAAAGGCATGGAAAGAAAAGACGAAACAAGTTATAATGTTGTCTAACTTTGCTTTTATAGGAGTCATGGAAATTTACACTAGAGAAGGCAAGACAAATTGTCAAGAAATCCTCCACCATGGTAAGCAATCAGAGGATAGAATGCCAGCCTTTCCCTTTCCATCCTGACCTCTCACAGCCCTGCTTCCACACCCCAAAGGCAAGGGCTACTCTGGATACAAGCCCACCACATGCTACCGTGCATTGGGGTAGATAGAAGTAGGAACTTGAGCTCCTTTGACTTTCTTCTCCTGCCTTCTTTCTGTAGCAGAGGTTTCCAGCCTCAGACATTTCGGGTTGATAATCCTTTGTTGTAAGGGCTGTTATGTGTTTTGTACTGTCTAGCAATATCCCTGTCCCCGACCCGCTAGATGCCAGCAGCACCATCCCCCCTTCCCCAAGCTGTGAGGCCTAAGAATGTCTCCTGACATTGCCAAGTGTCCTCTGGAGGGTAAAATCACCCATTTGAGAACCACTGCTCCAGTAGACCATTCAGGAGGAGATTTCATTCTCCTACCCCTCTGTTTTCTAAGAATGTGACCTCAGGCAAGGGGCTCAACTTCACTAAGCCTCAGTTTCCTTGTCTGTAAGATGGGGTGATAGTGCCTCTGATGGGGGTACTAATCGGGTTGATGCATGCCAAGCACGTAGTTCCATCCCCAGGACTTACCAAGTATTCAATAAATGTTAAGATCATCCCCATTACTAGTCATCCCCCCTAATTTGTCCTCCTTGTAATGACACTTATTCAGCAAATAGAATGCTTAGTTTAAATAAATGGTTGCATTTCTACAAGAAATGCCGTTGGGATTTTGATTGGCATTGCATTAAAACTATAGAGAACTTTTGGTAATATCGCCATTTTGATGATGTTAGTTCTGCCTATCCATGAACAGGGTATATTTTTCCATCTTCTAAGATCTTCTTCTATTTCTCTCTTTAGGGTTCTGTAGTTTTCATTGTATAAGTCTTTCACCTCTTTTGTTAGGTTGATTCCCAAGTATTTTATTTTTTTTGAAGATATTGTGAATGGAGTGGTTGTCCTCATTTCCATTTCAGAGGATTTGTCGCTGATATACAGGAATGCCTTTGATTTATGCGTGTTGATTTTATATCCTGCCACTTTGCTGAATTCATTTATTAGCTCTAATAGTTTCTTTGTAGACCCTTTTGGGTCTGCTACGTATAGAATCATGTCATCTGCAAATAGTGATAATTTAAGTTCTTCTTTTCCTATTTTGATGCCTTTAATTTCTTTCGTCTGTCTAATTGCTCTGGCCAGTGTTTCGAGTACTATGTTGAACAGAAGTGGTGAGAGAGGGCATCCCTGTCTTGTTCCAGATTTTAGAGGGAATGCCTTCAATTTTTCTCCATTCAGAATGATGCTAGCCTGAGGCTTAGCATAGATTGCTTTAAAATCATTCAGAACAAACTAAATTACTCATTTAAATATACATCTAAATATTTATATTGTATTGGAGAAGATGAAGTAATCAGGTTGAAGTGAGATGATACTTCTAATCTAGGAGGTACCAGACTGCCCTCCCTTTTCCTCCATAAAAGCTCTTGGTTTTGAATCACCCACAATTCCTCCTTGAAACAACTCCCCCTCAGTCTTTCAAAGTTCTAGCTCTCAGTTAACTGAATCTTTATCACAATTCATTTTGAATTCTTGGTAGTTTTAATGACCTTTATAAGAGCAATAGATTTAACAAATTATTTAAAATATTAATTTTTTGTGTGTGTGTGTGTGTAGACAGAGAGAGAAAGAGAGAATCAAGTCTTTAAAGATGTGTCTAACCAGCCATGGAAAGGTGGATTGAAATCAGAAATAAAAAAAGAGAAATAAATTTAAAAATAAATAAATAAATAAATAAATGGTTGCAGATTTAAATGTTTGACTTAGACTCTGATGGCAAATCAGCCCCAGCTGAAGAGGAAGGATAAAAGGAGAACTTTAAAGAACAGTATCATCCCCGATGCTAGAGACCCTGGCAGTAAGAAAGGATTGGTCAGAGGGAGAAGGTGTGGTCCTTTCCCCCTCCCTCTGCTTGCTAGCCTGCTCATCATTCACCCTGATGCAATGCATGGAAGATATTATTGATTTGACAAGTGGAAATAAAGGGGAAGAAAATCACTTACATCGAGGTTTACCAGTTTAAGCAAATAAAGATATAGGATATTCAGGAAAACTTAAGATTTCAGATGAAATAGGACTAAATTTTTAGTGTAAGCATGTCTGGTACAATATTTTTATCTGGCAGCCCTGTGCCTGGGGGTCATATGGGTTTTGATGTACAAGGCTGATTCTTGTTAAATGGCAACATGCAGGCATTTCTTCGTAATTGGTTAATCAATCACAATGTCTGCTTTGCCAGTCATTATCCAATTCAGTGAATAATTAAGGGCTGACAGTACCCAGTTCAGCTAATCTGCTTAACTTATTCAAGAAGAAATTGAAATACCATGAGAAACCCTCAACCACCACCTCAGAACTCTGAGCAGAAATGGAGAATAATAGAATTTGTGTTTTGTTCTTCTCAATGTGAATCTGAAAACTTATTTTCAGAGCATTGTTTATTTTACTAGCACAAACTGCCTTGGCATTAACTCAAAGGCTAATTAGGACTTTACAATTTTTTCTTATTTCTGTTACCAGAATTGAAAGAATAATTTGTGAGGCAGGATTCCAATAATTACTTCCAAGAAGAACAAAAAAAAATCCACTGAACAATTCAACAATTAAAAAAAAAAAAAAAAACCTCTCCAGAAGCCTCCCTCAATTTATTTACTCTTTTCGAGAAAAAAAATCAGAAAATACAAAATACAAATAATGGTCTCTGAAAAACTGCTTAAAAAATGCTGGCTGCAATGAATTCCATGTAACAACTGACATAACTGCAGGCTGACCAGGACATTTAAAGCAATACATGGTAGGTTGCACATCTTTTCAGCAAAGCCTGTCAGACTGTAAGAATCCAGACTGGAGAAAAGTTATATATTGTTGAAGAGAATCAAATGCTCCAGAAAAGGTCTGATCTCAGCGAGGCCCTAATAGGCTCTTCGAGGCTTTTCCTGGATTTGGAAGAGCACCGAGTCTCTAAGGGTTCAGAGGACCTGTGTTATGGAGTCATCTTATTATTTAATTCTCACTTCCACACACACACAAAAAATATTATCAATCTCATTAAAGATGGTAGGACTGAGGCTCCATAATTTGCTCACTCTTTGTAGCTAGTAAATGAGAAAACCATCACTTAAATCCAGAGCTAGATACCAATATTCTTTCCACTGTGCCAATAGCTCCAATCAGATTTCCTCAGGGCTGAACTTCAGGGAACACAGTCAGGTCACAGGTGGTGTCGAAACTGGAATCATTCAGGGAACAACCTGTTCAGCTATTTGTGAGGTCCCTGATCACAAGTCTCAATAGAATCCTATGAGAAGACTTTAAAAATTGCTCATATCCAAACCCCAGCATAGACCAATTTAATCCAGATAACATAGTACACGCCCCCTCCCCCCCACACACACACACAAAAAAAAAGGTTGAAAGGCACTTCACCATGCAGAAATTCAATTTCAGGTTAGCTTTCCTCCTTTGACCTTCCATTTATGCCATTCACCCTAATTTCTTTATTCAAACCCTGTTTGTTATTTTGCATTCATTTACTATCCTGATGTGTGGGGACTCTCAGGAAGCAAGTGAACGCTGGTTAAATAGATTGCAAAGTGAAGATGGGGTAGTACACCTGTCCCCAGGGACGTCCCAGGTTTGAGGCTCATTTTAGATGGGATCAGATGCAGCTAGATGTGATATTTTAAACCCATTCCTGAGTTAATAACAGCCCGCATTTTGGCTGTACAGCAAAGTTCCAAATGAAAAGAGGGAGCTGGCAAATGGTAAGCAAGGACTGCTGCAGTGTTGCTCTGGATTTGTCTCGGTTTGCTTGGCAAGTAAATTGCCCAGAGTAGGGAAGATGGCTTGGTGACAATTGCCTTTCCCCTTCTATGTGATGAAAAGACCAGCTAATCCAAACCTCTATATAAACAGAAAGTGTTCTGGGGGGTCCCTGAGCAAACTAAATCATCTATCTTCTATCTATCTCCTACTTCCTAACCCAAATTTCTGCACTGTGAATATCAAAGACAGCTTCAAGCCTTCAGGCTGGATTTTGACAGTGAACAGCTGTGCAATTATAAAATTTTATTCTATTGTACCTCTTGTATTGTAATTATAAGGCCGTTCAATAGAGTTTTTTCTGTGTTGGTTATCATCAGTGTTAAAATCTACATTGTCATTAGGTTAATTAGATCAAGGCCTTCAGAGTAGATATTAAAAGTAGCTTGAACATTCAAATGTAACCTGACTTTGGAGTCTGAGACTCAGAATGTGTCTGTACTTATGAACTGCCACCAATGTTTTGCATAATTGCATGCTAGTGTTTGATTTATAGTGTGTCAACAGTCCTGATCTCAATCGGAAGCCAAGTGTTTGAATTTAACCCTCTAAACACCTGTTTTTTTTTTCCCACTGCCTCTACAGTGTACCCCACCCGATTTTACTTCAAAGTTTCCAAGCCAGTGCTAACTTTTTCCCTCACACCTAACCTAAGAGGGACATTGATTACAGTCTGGAGACAGATTTGTGCTAGAGGCATTTAGTGGGTAGAGGACCTTACACAGTACACGAGACAGCCTCACAGTGGAGGCTGAACTATTAGGGCAATAGTGCTGAGGTTAGGAACTCTGGGATCAGGATCTCTTATCTCTCAGGGTCTCTTATCTCTAATGGGATAAACTATCCCATCTCTTTGCTTCTAGGCCATCTTTTACCCCCCAGAGATATCCTTTTGAGATACAAATGTGATTGCTCTGCCCAATGCGATGGGTTCAAGGCTTCTCCACTGTCCTCAGGGTACCCTGTAGGTGCATAATAGCCTGACATAATGCCTCCTTTCTTCCATGATTCAGACACTGAATGTTTGTCTGTCTCCTAAGAAAGATGCCAAACTTTCTCACACCTCCCCAGCATTGAGTGGGGTGCTCCTGCTGCCAGGATCCAGGCTCCTCCAGCTTTAGTGTGCCCTCTGGGGACCTTGTTGAAATACAGATTACATTGCAGTAGGTCTGAGGATGGGAGAAGGAGACCTGATACTCTGCATTTTTAAAAGCTCCCAGGTGCCATCAATGCTCCTAGCCCATCATCACACCTTGAGCAACTGGGACCCAAAGCAGTGGTTCTCAAACCTTAGTGGGCATTGGAAATGACCCTGGAGAGTGAGCATCAGAATGACTTTTAAGGCTGTGAGAGGACAGATTCCTGGGACTCACCCCATGGCAGCTTGTTCAGTAGATCTGGGGGGAAGCCTCTGAGGATTTGCATCTCTAGCAAGGCTGTGGGCTGTGCTTGGCATCACAAAACCTCAGGGTATTTGTGTGTTACCTCCTACCTGCCTCCTTCCTTCCTGGTTTCTGGGTCATCTGGGTTTTCTGGGTCAGGTTCCTAGAGAACCCCGATAATGCCTCCACCTCTGTGGACCCCATAGGGAATGCCAAGAAGTAGGACATCCACCCAGACCCTTCACTTGATGGTGGGCTAAAGACAAAGTCAGCCTGTCTCTAAGCCTTGCATAGAGATGGGGGCCTAGTCAGGTTTGCTTCTACTCCTGGAAGGATGGGCAGGCATTGCTAAGACCTTTACATACTCCATTGGTATTCTGAAAAGGTTACCAGTTCTCCTTTGCCAGGGGCAGAGTATCCCCAGTACCCATAATACAGCCCATAGCCATCTAAAGGTCTCTTTGGGCTGGTGGGAATTGACTCATCTTTCCCTTCATTGATAATTGCTGGTTTCCAACGTTTTCTACCCTGTAGCCTTCTCTTTCTTTAATAATCATGGAAACTGCTATCTTTCTAAAAGTACTGCTTAATAAAAAGCCAGGGGTTTTAATTTATCGCACATCTGGGTTCTTATAGAAACTACTATCTAAAATCTCCTGTTCTTCACAACTCGCAGCTTCTTTGGGGAAAGGGCCTGCCTTCATCTCAAGCCTCCAAGCATGTCTCTCCATTTAGTCTTCATTTAACCTTTAATCGGATGGAATATTTTATTTGAAAGTGGCTTTTTTCCCAAAATCTTTTTTCAAAGCACTTGGGCAAAGGAATATTGTTCCATTAGAACCAACCAAGGCAGGCCAGATATTTTTGGGAAAAGGTGAAGAACCAGGGCAGCCATAAAGGTGGGAATGGCTGGCTGGAATCTAGGGGAGGGGGGTGCCTTCAGACTGAGGTCCCAGCATGGATCAAGACACAGGAGGTGGGATGAATATGGGGTGTGAGGACAGGAACAAGAGGTAAATCTAGATAAGTGAAATGGAGCAGACTCTAGAAGGAAGATCCAGAAATCTGGACCACCGAAGAGACCTTAGGTGGGGAACCATTCCTTGAATTAAACAACTATATTTATTTATGTATTTATTTATTTCTCTCTCTCTCTCCAGCAATATCCTAGAAGTGGTTCCAATATTTGTTCACTCCCGTTTTTGGCCAAGATCTGTCAGAAAATTAAATTGTAGGTATTCTTTTTCTACCTCCCAAGCCTATAATAACATCTTCACTTCTTTCTGCTTTCTAATGATTAAAATGATACTCATATTTAAATGTCATCTTCCTAAAGGTGACAGTGTTTCTCACTTAAAATGTGCCTTGTACCGAAATCACAAGACAAATTGGCTCCAAACAAAACCACTTTGGAAATAGATTGTATTGACCAGTACCTTTGAATCTGAAAGCTTGCTTTTTACCCCATGCCAGAATGCAGGGTGCCAGTAAGGCTTTCTGTGCAGCTCTAACACTTATTGCATGACAACTGGGGACAGTTCCTTCTTGCCATGTAAGATTCAGAGCAGGTCAGCCATTGGTTGTGGCTGGGACTCGTTGAGCATCTTTAGTTGCCAGGCACTCATGAAGTTGGAAGGGGGCTATTTTTCACAGAATTCTACCTGAACAGTCTGGCTCATTCATAGGAGTAGGATTCCAAACAGAAAGACAGTGTCAGAATTCCCCAATACTGCCCACCACCACTATCTCAGTTCAAATCCCATATTCCGGTTCCCTTTGGCATCTGGAGTTAAACTAGATATCATAGAATCACTGTTCAATATGTTAAGAGACAAACAGTGACTCGAGAAGGACACTGGACTAAAAGAAAAAATAGCATAGATCCTTCCTTCCTCAGTATGGTAGTCAACTTTCTATTACTGTAACAAATACCTGGGATAATCAGGTTAAAAAGAAGAAAGTTTATTTTGGCTCAGAGTTCTGGAAGTTTCAGTTCAAGACCAAATGGCCCTGTTGCTTTGAGCCTGTGATGGCCCAGTCCATCATGGCAGGAGAACTGTACATCATGGTAGAGGAAACCTGTTTAGTGCATGGCCAAGTGAGAAAGAAAGAGAAGGAGGGAGAGACCAGAGCCCCACAATTTCCTTCTAGAGCACACCTGCAGTGACCTAAAACCTTCCACTAGGTCCCACCTGTTAATGGTTTTCCTACTTCCAAAAGACCAAGTCTTTAACACATGGGCCTTTGAAGGAAGTTCTGGACCCAAACTATAGCCTCAGCGACATTTAACATGCTTCTGCTGCTGCATTAGGGGTGCTCTGCTGGGTCTCCAGTAATGGATTTTCAATACATTTCTTCATTTGGTTCTCACAACTTCACAGTAGGGTTTATTATTATTCCCATTTCATGTAGAAGGAAACTCCTCCATGAGCCCCACTGCAACCTCTGCCTTCATCTTCCATGTGGCCATCGTTCCTGGGTCTTCATCGTTTCCTTTCATAAGGACACCAGACATACTAGATTGTGGCCTACCCTAATGACTTCAAACTAGATTACATTTGTAAAGATTCTATTTCCAGATAGGAAAGGCCACATTCACGGGGAGTCGGGATTAGGACATCTCTCTTTGGGTGAACATAATCCCACTCACAGCAAACACGTTTTCTAGGTTCTTCCAGCCTTCTCCTCTTGAGCTTCCTGGGAGCTAAATCCACTGAACATCTCCAGTCTGTTGTGAAAATAACTGGGGTGAGGAGGATGCAGCTGTGATTCTGACCCACATTCAGATCCTCTCTTAGGGATCCACAAGTTACACACTTTTCCTGGCTCATCTGTCAGCAAGAGCCCCAGCAGCCAGCTATGTAAAGTGCTGGCTTAGATCCCAGAAACCGTCGCAACACCCCGTGATGTGAATGGGGTAGATGAAGAGGCATCAGGATTTGGGAAGAAGAGGGGAAATCTCAGACATGGACGAAGATGCTGAGAGGCTGAGATGCAGCCAGCTGCCCGGGCAGCCCATCATTTCATCATATCTTGGTCCCTTGAAGTGGGACCACTGTCCCCTCCTTGATGAATGCATCACTGCATTTCCTGTATTAGCCATGGGCCAGTGGGTCTTAACAGTGCCACAGTGACAACTCTTTAATTGAACCACCTTTGAAAAATTGAATTCAAGAGCATCTGTGGCCAGGGATTTTCTTGGCCCAATTTAAAAGGGAAATTATTCTTTTATTTAAAAAAAAAAAAAAGCAAAAACAGCATGCTTTTCTTCTTTTTGAAAATCATTGTGCTTCGAGTACAATTTGCACCAGATCGCAATTTGTTCAGTACTTTATTATTTACAAAATATATTTACATGCAGCTTCATTTATTCTTTGAAACAACCTGTGGCTCAGTAATAATAAGGATGATTAAAATTATCTGGTGTCTATGCAACAAAAACTGTCATAAATGCAATCTTATAAGGCAGGCATCATTATTGTCCCCTTTCAAAAGAGCTATTTGCTGTGGGTCACAGAGCTGGTGATGGATAAATCTGACTTTGGACCCAGCACCTGGTTCTCATTGAGCCCCTGGACTCTTAGTCTGATTCTTTAGATGATCAAGTAGGTTTAAATGTCTCGGACTGCATTCATTTGCCTTCAGGTTCTCAGAACTGCTGAGATGCCCTTGATTCAAAATACCATTTAGTAAATCCTGGACAGGGCCTCATTACAAACTCTAAAATTTAAGTTCCAAGAAGAACCTCACCCTGCCCCATGACTGCATTACTTAGCCACTCTCTAAGTGAGAATGGCTAAATGAAAAGCAATGTTTGCCTTTTAGAACTGGGAAGGGTCAGGTCATCCCTAGGCTCCTTGGTTACCCAGACTTACAACTGAGAATGAAACTGCCAGCTAATGACAGTAATGCCCAAGATTCTCAGAGTGAGTGGTTGAAAAGAGTGAACATGAAAGAAAGGCCTTCTTAACAGGATGTGTAAAATGTCACAAATTCAACTTGCAGTGCTGAGTTCCTTGACTGGACCCATATAGCACAATCTCCTCTTTCCTGGGGATCTCATCAGCAATGTCCATAACCACAACTCAGTTATTCTCTTCCCCACAAGGGTCACATTAAATAACAGAAAGAAGACAATCTTTTGAATGGAGAGCAAAGATTGGCAAAGTTTAGCTGGCACTCTGATGCAGCATGCAGATCCTGAATTTTTTTCTTAGATCAGCCCTCTGTCTAAACTCAACACAGCCGTGTCTGAAAGTGTCTCTGTTTGTTTTCACAAACCTGTTTGTTTGTTTTTATCTCAGCTTACTGGGTGTTTTGGTTTTTTTCTTCTAGATCTATAACAAATTCTGTGCCTTACAAAGATATGGACTCAGACAAATACAGTGTTTTCCCAGTAAGTATTGTTAAGAATAACCAGATGTTCGCTGAATATTACATCACTTCCTTCAGTTTTCTTCCCTTTAACAAAATAAGGCAGAATTTCATTTGAATGCATTATTAATTTGATGAACGATCCATCATTTCATGATTCTTAAGGACATTTTGGCTTCGTGACAATACACAGGACATCAAAGCAAGTCGTAGGCCCCGGATTTCTATTTTTCTTTGTTCCCATTGCCAGCTGGAATTTTCCATGGGACTGTGGTTACCCTGAGAGGTGTTGTGAATTACTTTGGAAACTCTCAAGCCTACTTTAACTTATTTAGAAAGAGTGTATAGGTGTGAGTTCAATTGAGAACTCCGAGGATGTCAGGTTGTCTTCTGGGAAAGTAAACAAGCAAGTGACATGTCACAAAGTCCTCCAAATGTGAAGGATCTCAGCTCTTCTACTTGGGAATGGAGGAAACAAGAAGATTGTTGGACATAATTAAAACGGGTTTTTGGAGGGTGGGGTACTGGGGATAGAATCAGAGCTGCTTAAACCACTGAACCACATCCCCGGCCCTTTTGTTGCTGTTATTTATTTTGAGTCCTTGTGAAGTTGCTTAGGGGCTTGCTGAGCTGCTGAGATTAGCCTCAAACTTGTAGTCCATCTTTCTCAGTCCTTAGGATTACAGGCGTGTGCTACCAATGCCAGGCTTATTGTAACTCCTGATTCTTTCAAATCAGTCAAATCAAACATATAAATCCACATGATTAATAGTTGAGCTATATTATTTGTAAGTTGTCCAATAAAGTAATTAGCCATTTGGCTAAATATATTAATTATTTTAGAGCCTGAGAAGATTGGTGGTTAACAGAGGAATTTTAGGAAGTTGGGTGGTCCTGTTGTTTCTGGAAATGTACATCAACACACATGCATGAACGAACACATATACAATGAGCCACACACGTGCATGTACACACATCTGAAACATGCAAACACATAAATACATGCATGTTCACACACCCCATGTACACACATATGCATGCACACATACATTCCTCAATTATCTCACCTCAAATGGCATGTCCTTTCATATTAATCTTGATACATACATGCAAACACATGAATACATGCATGTACACACACCCCATGTACACACATATGCATGCACACATATATTCCTCAAATATCTCACCTCACATGGCATGTCCTTTCATATTAATCTTGATTTTCTTAATGTTCTTTAGTGTTCCTTGACCATCTCTGAATTAAAAAGTGCAAATGTCAAAACGCCCAAGATAGCTCTAATTCACCTTTGCTGCGGGCACCATCAAAGCAAGCCTGACGCCTCCCATGTGTTCTCTTCAACTGCAGACGCTGCGGGGCTATCACTGGAGAGGGAGAGACTGTAACGACAGTGACAAGACAGTATATCCTGGCAGAAGGTAACTCTCCACTGGTCACTGATTTTGAAAATTAGCTTCCAAAAAGGAGGCAGGAGGCATAATTCCTTCTTGGAGCCTAAGGGATTCCCACCTACAGGCAGAAGGGACATCTTACCCAATGGAAGTAAAGCTCAGTGAAGAAAACAGCATTCATGCATTGATCTGTCCAAGAAATGTTTATTGAGCACCTAAGATTTGCAAAGTACTTTGCATCATGTTAGGTGGTAAATGAAATATTTATATATATATATATATATATATATATATCCCTTCTCATGGTGCTTACAATCTGTCCCCTCTGGAGTAAAGAGTAAAGAATGGAAATCACATCAGACTTTAGTCCTGAGCTGATGTTTAGCCAATCACTTCTCCAACTTCAAAAAAATGGATATGCCAACCTTCACTTGTGCTGTGATTACAGTGCCAAGGCATTGAATTACCCAAGTGTTTGGGCATTCTTGAGGCACCATTTTAGCAGCTTCACCTATTTATATAAAATAGACTGCAGATTTGTTCATTATGCTCACCAGCACCATTCCAGAAGTCCATGAGTATAGTCAATCATGAAAAAGACTGGATTTGTTTCAGGGTTCCCAGTAAATACCCCAAACCAAGTTTAACACGAGCAGTCCCATGGAGGCTTCTGTGTCACAACACCCAGCAACAGGGAACGCTCTTGGGCATGGTTGACTTTCAGTGGCATTTTGTGTAGCCTTCATTCCTTTATTCACAAAACTAACATTCACTGAGGGATAAGCATAGACCAAAATCAATGTGGATTTTTTTTTTTAAGGCCAGACAACTGGGACATACATCGGGATTCAAATTGTAATGGCATTTGGGTAAGCGCTAAAATTCAAGTTTAACACTATCTCTTACTTTCTGCCTTCCCCCAAAGCCCACTGCCCATTTGCTTTAGTCACAGGTAAGGAAGGAGATGACAGCCCATGAGAACTCTTCCAGCTGCTCCGAGGAGGGTAGAGAGTCTGCATCACACATGAAAAGCATCCGTGATGTGATGAAAAATGAGGGCTCTCAGGGTCACAGCCCTTTCAGCTTTGCTCATGGTCACCGTTTTGAGTGCTTTCATTCTGTCTGAACACTGTGAAGTGAAATGGGAGTGGTGTTCACAAAGTTTTACAGCAACCCACACAGCTGTTGGAGCAAACCACATGCTATCACCATTTTTGGCTGCCATTTTTTACCTGTTTCATCAGCACAGTCAGGCAGAGTAGAAATTACCCCGTATTTACCTCGCTATCCATACCTCAAGGCATCTGATGTTGGTGTCTCAGTTCCCTGTGAATAATGGGTTTACAGCTCCCAGGTAGAGAAAGGGAAGGAAGGAGGAAAGCCAACCAAGTATTTATCCTTGGACAGTAATGGCAGAAGACTCAAGTTTTACAATCTTAAATTTACACAATTTGAAAGGTCCTTGTGAAGAATTAAAAAAAAAATACCAACTTACAAATATAAAATGAAATATGAAAGAAAATAATTATTTAGTACAATAAAAGAAATCCTAAAAGATTACAGAAGCTTAGAAATTTTAGACCCTTTGATTTAGTCTTTTCCAACCAACCAGAAGTGCTTACATGGAAAGGTATCCTGATTATAGTGTGGCCTCCTCTCTTCACCTAGAACATTCAGTAGCTCCCAGTCACTCCCAACATTCACACTGGCAGGAGCTATACAAACAAGGACCCTTGAAGCTTTAGATTCCCTGGTTTCAAAGGAAACCTGCCTGGATGAGGAAGAGAAAATTGCCATAAACATTTCCCTATCCCAGGACACAAATGGCCTGTGGTTTCTGGGATATGAAAAGCATGGCAATGATTTTATCCCAGCCCACACCTCCCACCCTGTTCTCAGTCACATTGCTTTTTTGTGGAGGAAGAGAAGCCATCTCCCCTAGAGCTTTGAGGTGTCAAGAACCCCAACTCAACTCTTACTCAAATAAAACCAAGTCTCATTCTCATGTTGGGGTACTATGGGGGCTTATCAGGTTACATGGCTGCCATCCTCATTCCATGTTCCACTACTGCCTTTGACATGGTGTGCCACCCTACATAAAGAGCAGGGCCATGAAAAGACCAGAGGAAACCTAACATGAGCTCAGGGAGGCAAAACTCAGTGTTCGTATGAATAATGGGAGAGATGCATCGCCTTGCTACCGATCCCTTCTGCAGCAAAAATGACTCACAGAATCACAAAATCGGGAACAAGGAGGGGACTTCACAACCATCAGAGCCAACATAGTCCCAACTGCATCCCCATGATCAAGTGTTGAGTGTGATATTAATAGGTATGGAGGGAGGGGCTCCGTCATCTGGTTAAGTATAGGGAGCCATTGGGCCCAGTGAAGCTGAACAGTTCTCTTTCCTTCTGGACTCAGCATCTTTAATGTTTTAATATGCACTGGGAGCCCCCAAAGGCCAGGAGAGTGGGCATGCTAATTCCAGCGCATCTCTGACTACTCAGCACTTCTGTCTTGGCATATTTACTATTCATGTCCCTGGAAGGGAGATGTTAGGAAGCTTTTGATGTTAGGAAGCTTCAGCTGCGGCAACTCTGTCCCCCTCACAGATTCAAATTCCCTTCAGGTTTCTGAATCTTGGCACTATTGACATAGGAGTTACATAATTCTTTGTTGTTGGGATTGTCTTGTAAACTGTAGGATGTTTAACAGCTTTCTTGGCCTTGACCACTAGGTCCCAGGGTGACTCCCACCCTGTTGTGACAGACAAATCTGCCTCCAGACATTAGCATTGTCCCTGGGTTGAGTGTGGGATGGTAAGGTATTGGGGAAAATCAACCCTGGTTGAAAATTCAGCTCTAGGAGTATCAATATTTAGGTGTAGTAGATGCCAGAACAGTTAGGTCTCCAGCTCAGGGACTGCAGAACCTGCCCTGATCTTGTGTGACACTCATGGGGCCCTCAGTGCTCCAAGGAGGGAGACCGTTAGCTCATGCACCTCTCCCCCAAAATACTGCCCTCAACTCTCTGAAAAAGGAGACCCAGCTTCTGGATCTCTCCTTATTCCCACTCCCAGTTCCTCTTAAACCCAGTTTACTCTCACAGTGTTGCTCTGTTGGATTAGGGACTCAAGAGACTTTAAAGGTATTAGCTTTTAGTTCTTTGTTTATCCTGGAGATTAATGCTCTATCTGAGGCAGATGACAAAGATTTTCTCCCATTCTGTAGGCTCTCTCTTCATGTTCTTGATTGTTTCCTTTGCTGCGAAGAAGCTTTTTAGTTTAATACCATCCCATTTATTGATTCTTTATTTTACTTCTTGCACTTTAGGAGTCTTGGTGAGGAATTCAGTTCCTAGGCTGACATGATGGATAGTGGGGCCTACATTTTCTTCGCGTAGGTGCAGGGTCTCTGATTTAATGCCTCGGTCCTTGATCTGTACAACCACAAAAATGGGATCCTAATTAGAATAAGTTATGCTTCACGTATGTACAATGTGTCAAAATATACTCTACTATCATGTATATGTAAAAAGACCAAAAATACATAAAAGACTTTAAAGGATTTTATTTATTGATTTGCTTTTTTACTTCTAACAGTCAGTTGGAAAGGATTTAGCGTATTTGTCTCATAATTTTTTTTAAAATTACTAATCTCATCATTTCTCTTTTAAAGGGTAAAGATCCCAAAGATGGAATTCCATATGAGAAGAAATTCTGTGAAGGTATGAATTGTAAAAGTCAGTGTGCTTATCACAACAGAATGTTGTTTTCTGGTCAAGTCAAAAAGAACTTACTCTAATTGTATTATATATAATTATATATTTAATTTTATTTGTTTTCATGACAAATCATAAAAAGACCTGAGAAAGAAATAGAAAAGAAAGCAGAGTCTAGAAAATGCCCAAAACTTAATTGTTTCATTACAAAATGTAATGATAATTTTAGAAGAGGCTTCAGGATGGATAACAGAGTCATGGAATTTTTCCCATGGGAAAAAAAAAAAATCTGGGATTTTTCCAAATAAGAAAACAAGGAGAGGCACCAACTGAAATGTTTCATCCTTGGGAAGTCCTTCTCAATGCACTACAAGTTCAGACACTATGACTTGCACTGATGGAACAAGTTCTTGTGTCCACTGGGCTAAAGATACACAGAAAGAAAAAGAAATCTGAATTACTCGAGGGGGCTGCCAAGCTCTAGCCTGCAGGGGCTTCCCAAAGCAACTGAGCAAAAGATCTGTACTCTAAGTGTCCAATGCCATAAATATCTGGGCCACCAGTACAGCTGGGAGAAAGCTCACCGCCCACACGACACCTGGAAACAGACCCTGAGGTCACATCACTGCATCTATTGAGCAGCGTTTTTCTCCCAACTTTCAGAAGCTTCTCACTCCCTCAGTCATTCACCCATTCATTCCACAGGTATTTCCTGGACAACTATTCCAGTGATGCACCAAGGGTTAGACTTGGCTCAGTGTTTCCATGGCAAAAAAAAAAAAACATAGCCTTTAGGCTCTCAGAGAAGCAGGAAAAAGGATAGGAAATGTAAAGGCCCATGACATATATATGCAACTTAGAAAAAATAAGCACTGTGGAAAAAAATAATTATAATAATAAAAATGCAGATCTAGATGAAACCCTAGACCTTCTAAAGTCACTGAGGGAAGCTCATGGATTCCCACATCCCATGCCCCTCTTCCCTTCCGGATATCCTGGCTATTTTCAATTCCCATCTGTATGACCAAATTGAAGTTTCCATGGACACTCAGACTAGGGATCCACCACTGTAAGACTGGGCCATCCTCTGGCTTCACTGGAAAGGTTTGGGGTGGAAAAGGAAATTTCCCTTTCTGCCACAGGGAGGCAACAATTGACTTTCCCAGCTTCTTACGGGATTCGGAAGAGTATATCCATAGATGACTGATTTGTGTGGATGGGCCACAGAATCAGATTAAGTGATTCTTACCTCCAGACACACAGGCTACATGGAGACCTTTCTATCTTCATCTCTCCATTAATCAGCCAGAATCATCCATCCAGTGCTTTTGTGTATATGGATTAAGGGCTTTAAGAGACCACAATATCTTTGAAAAAAAATCAAAATTGCTCCATGAGGTCATTAACTCTTAAAGTGAATTGTAACAGAAATTGGTGTATTTTCCAAGAAAGCCATCTCCAGGACCAAAATTTAGGGCATATTTCTGAATCCAGATAAAATTTTGATTCATTTATTCATCCATAATGCGCTCAGGATGTTGTAGACCAGTCAGTTTTATGCAGAGCTGAGAAACACACCTGCATCTGTATAGCTTAGCTCGCAGTTCCAATGGCCTAGAAATTTCATTCAGCTCCTAAATGCTGGGCCCCTCACACCCTCCGACACACAAAAAGCGGTAATGTATCACTGTTACGATGAGCTGTGCACAGAATAACACGAGGCTATCTGCTCTCATAACTACCCAAGCTGGAGCCTCCCAACCACTTGAGTGCATAAATAATGTAAATAAATTGTGCTGCCTAGGTTCACAGCCCAGGGGAATCATTTTGCTGGGAGACTCAGCTGGGGCTCATTTTCACATCCCTCCCGAATGGCTCGCAGCTTCGCAGATGTCTTTGGTAAGTAATTTTGGCAGTCATCATTCCGGATGCGCTGGCCTTTGTTTCTGTTTTCCCTTGCTCTCTCTAAATGTGATGCCAACTCCAAACAGGTGCAAATTTCCCTGATCAGCAAAATCTGCCATGAAAAGCATATCCACAACCATTTTAATTCTAGGCAAACGGAGGCAAAGGGTTTCTCCTACTCTCCAATTTCAGTCCAGCTGCTGCCAGAACCCTGAAGATGGCAGGTGGGAGACAAGAAGAAAAATGGCGAGTGCACAGAGAGGGCGCAGGCAGCTCCTCGCTTCTCATGGAGGTCAGAGGAGCAGGTTGGGGCTGCTCCAGCTTGGTTTCTGTCTGAGGAAGCAAGATGGGGCTGGGCGGAGCACACTGCTTGGCTCCTAATGGCCACCAGTGTGCTCTATCAAGGGCAGCAGGGGACAGACAAGCCTCCCATTCCTCCCTGAAGAGTAGTGGGATTGAGCTGGAAGATGTTCATGTGAAAAAATGAAGGCAGAATCACTAATAAGTTCAGACTCATGGAAGGAAAGGAAAGGGGAGGGAAGCCAACTTTCGTTGACTCTTATCAGGCATCTGGCACTAGGAGAGGGATTCATGCATGTTACTCAGATGATGAGCCTGTATATAGTCACCCCTCATATCAGCAGGTTCAGCATCTATAAATTCTACCAACTGCAGATAGAAAACATAGCTAGGCCCATTATGGCTGCATCTGTACTGAAGTCGTGCAGACTTTTTGTTATTATTCCCTAAACAACGTAGCATAACAACTGTTTACCGTGCATTTACATTGTGTTAGGTATTGTAATCTCGAGATGATTTGAAGTGCATCAGAAGATGTATCCAGGTCATATGAGGATCTATGCCATTTTACATAAGGCACTTGAGCATCCATGGATTTGGAGATCCAAGGGAGGTCATATCACCAATCCCCCAAAGATGCTGAGGAATGACTATACAGGGTAGAACTATGAAGGCAACTCTGTATGTCATCAGGTCATCATCAGAGAACACACCTAACACAGCATCAGGAGGGCCATTATCTTCCCCTTGAACTTTTCAAAGACCTGGGGAAATTATGTGGCAAAGCATGGGAGGGAACAGGAAAGAGCAGTCTGAATGCCACACACCCAAGCAGGGGGTGCAGCAGTAGCAGATGGATCATCTGCAGCTTCAGCTACCTGAGGCTAACAGTTGTCACAGGGGACTGCACCAAAACCTGTGCTCAGGGCCAGCTACACAATTGGCAGGGCCCAATGAATATTAAAAATGCAGGTGCCCTTGTTCAAAAAGCAAGGGAGAAGTTCCATTAAAGGTGCCAAACATAAAGCTTTTTGCTTCCTTCAGCAGTCTCCTCTCACCTTGTCAAGGTGTTTTTCTCTTTGCCATTTGATGTCATTCTAAAAAAAAAATTAAAAATTTAAATAACCCACAGGAAGATTATGTTCATCTTTATATTGGATAGTTCCAATCTTACATGGAACTATAAGGGCACTGAACTCATAAGTGGAATCACCGAAATTCCACTACTCTTATTTAGTAGCTTGTCCCTAGAGGTTGCTTTGAGCTACCCAGAAGAGAGAAGGTAATGCTGGAAGGAGAAATGGAGGCTTCCTTGAGGTGCAGAGTCACTAGACTAAATATTCCCTCCAAACAGGGGCTACTTGGGGCAAGTGCCAACCTTCACAGGCACTGGGGTTCCCACCCTGAGACAATAAGGCTGGAGGGCTGTTGAGGTCCTCTTGCCAGTGCTCAGTGGGTCTGCAGTCCAACCAGGAACCTCCCTTGCCCAGGGCCCACCCGCCAGCCCAGAGCAGAAGGATGATTCCCAGGGTCTTCTGTCATACTTGGATAGGGCTGGAGCTCACCTCCCCTCCCCACTAAGTACCAGCACTGCCAGCTGGGGCATTGGACAATTGCTTCCATGCTCAACCCCAATCTTTACCTGTCTGTGCCCAGGTTCTCACAGGGGGCAGAGGGCAGGGAATACAAGCCTCCCTCACTGACATCCCCTAGCTGACACTGGGCCAGAAGGCACAGCAGCCAAGTACCCATCCCTGGGAGGTGGCTGGAGGCAGGATCTGGTGGGTCTCAGTCTCCAACTCCCTCCTTCATACAGGTTCTGTTATCCTGTTGGACCTCACTCACATAACACAAGTTCAAATAAAAGTTGTCTTGTTTTTGTTTTTTAAGGGGCTGGGGATTGAACAGAGGGTCTCACATGTTAGGCAAGTGCTCTATCACAGAACTACATCCCCAGCCCCTACAAAGGCTCTTAAGAAGTTCAGAATGGTGGTTATAATTCTGGTTAAAATGTCCTAGACTAGAAAAGTACAGTGGGAAGCAAAAAAATAGACAACCTCAGAAGCCATGAATGGACACACATCCCTCACACACTTCCCATCCTGTGTCCTTTATCACCATTGCTGAAGAGACCACTGTTAGTCAGATTTCCATCACTTTAATGACATACCTGAGATAATTAACATAAAAAGAGAAAAGGGTTGTTTGGGCTCACATTTTTGGAGGTTCCAATTTATGATCTATTGGCCCTGCTTCTTTGGGCCCACAGTGAGGCAGCACATCATAGCAGGAGTAAAGCAAAAGCACTCACCTCATGATCAAGAAGCAGAGGAGAGAAAGAACAGGTATCATGGTACCACGGTCCCCTTTGGAGGCACACTCCCAATAACCTAAGGTCCTCCAATTAGGTCTCACCTCTTGAAGTTCCCACCACATCCCAACATCACCAAGCTGGGACCTGGGGTGAAACCTGGTGTGTTCCCTGGCATCCTTGCATCTGGAGAGGGCTGCCTGAACTTCATCCCCAACTTCAGATCTTCCCACAGAGTCTAAAACAACCTTTGGAGAGTATGAAACAGTCTATCCCCCCTAAGAAACTTCTGATGCTTCTGGTCCCTCTAAATGACACTCCCCAAGCCCCAACCATTATGATGGGCACATAATTAATTTATTGTCCAAACTGGGCTGTTTGATAGGAGAGACACCACTACTAACTAATACCAGGAAAACCTGGGCTGGCCAAACAAATCTGAATGTACAGCTACCCCCACTGACAGTCTGAGAGCTGTGTGCCAAGCTGACTCCACAATCAGGAGCGGTATCCAGAGAGGAGGTCCCAGCCCCTAACATACCTGTATGTATAATCACTTGGATTCTGAGTCCAGCTTGGGTTCAAATCCTGGCTTAGCCACTTATATTTACTTATTGACTCTGAGCCTTCATTTCCTTGTCTGTAAGATATATATAATGATGGCTAACTTCTCAGACATCTAGGATAGTTTTTATGACAGGATGTTAAAAACTGAAATATTTCTTTCTACGTCCGTTTTATCCAAGGCCACCAAAATGTAGGACCAACTATTCCTACCTTCCCTCCATCTAATTTCTTCCAAGAGAAATTTTTAGAGCACCTCTAAAATACTAGCACCTGCAAAAGAAGGAGTGAAACCAGGTCTGTAGCCTGTTGCCTAACTCCTTCCTCAAGGGCCCACCAGGGTTGAGGCTAGGGACAGCTAGTTTTAGGATGGCAGTGGGGCCCTGCTCTCCCCAAGGGGGAAGATGCAGATACCTCCCCCCACCCCACCCACTATAAGGAAGTCACCCAGAGACCTGGATGGGGTCACCAGAGCCTGCAGCCAAGAGGGCTGATGTGTGACACCCTGTGAGGAATGGAAAGGCAGTGACAGAAGCAACAGAGCAGAAAGAGTGCCCTGGGCAAGGAAAAGGACCACATGAAAGGAAGGGGACAGTCCAGAGAGGACAGCCTGAAGGACAAGGTGACCTCACAGGGCTTGGCCTTCAACTGACCAGGGATGAAACAGCAGACTAAAGTGACTGAGGGGGGTGTGGGGAAGGCACCAACTCCACCAGGGGAGCCTTTGTCGTGAGCCCTAGGACAGCCCACACTACAGAGAACCAGATCCAGTCATCTTCCCAGACAGAGGCACTCACCCCAATGGACCTCTTCTCCCTCCACCACCATCCCCAGGGGTCAGAAGTCTCGGCCAGTAACTGCAAAGAAAGGCTGGCCAAGTGGACCACACTCCCCTTCCTGAGCACAGCTATCCAGCCTCAAGCTGGGGATGGGCTGGGAAAAAGGAATTTTACTTAAAATTATGAGGACCAGACTACCTGAACCAGATGTTTTTATTTTCTGAAATGAAATTTAACACAACCAGAGAAATGCATGTTATCTGAAAATGAGCACACGCCTAATCAGGCTGACCGGGACTTCTTCCAGGGGCAGGGGATGATCGAACACTGCAGTCTGAGTGGGCAGTGGGGAAAGAACAGAATCACCCTCTCACTGTGCCCTTGGTTGAATCTGCCAGACCCCAAGCACCAGCAAGATCACAGAGGCCCAACAACCGCTCATGCTCTTCTCTCTGCTGGTTCTGACCATTCTCGGTAGTACTGTAGGCAGGGTCTCCCTTCATAAAGGTCTAGCAGCTGATGCCCAGACCTGGGCACAGTGTGTAGTCTGACTGATGAGGGCACCCAGGTCAAATGCTGCTGGGACCACAGAAGACACCAGGAGGCTGAGCTGGGAGGGGCAAAGGAAGACAGGAAATAGTCCCTCCCCGCCTCCCCCTTTCCCATCTCCCTCCTGGGCTTTCCACTGGCAGGTGCATCCCACAGACGGTTTGGGAAGTGTAGTTGGCAGGGTCCACTCAGTATCGCTGAGCAGAGCTGCAGGCTTGGAGCTAAGGGGTGATTGCTTACCCACCATGAGCTGCTGGAACCCTTTTGGATGAAGCCTAGAGGCTGTGAGTGTCACCCCAGGGTGTGGGAAAGGAGGGAGGCAGAGTGGGTTGAAGAGTCACCAAGCACTTTAGGTGGCCAAAGGCTGGAGGGAGTGCCCTGGAGACAGCAGTCACAGGGCAGCCTGTGGTCTGTGGGCATCTGAGGCCTGGCTGATTGTCCTCAATTCATCAGTCCAATTACAGCCTCCTTTCTACATCACCTTATTCCCC